GCTGTCACCGAGCTCTTTATGATCAAGGATAGCATTTCACCACATTGAGTCATAGTTCCACTTTCAATTTTCTGGTAGTTAATTGGAGATGAAAGTTTCTCAGACTTTCCTGCTGGGGCTGGCATTGAACTGTGATCCTCAGATCTCAGCCTTCTAAGAAGCTAGGATTATAGACACGAGCCACCAGCACCCAGCTTATAAGAGATTTTTTTTTTTTTAGGAAAGTAATCTCATCATGCTATTCATTAACTACTATTAAAAAATAGACACCATGCGAAGTTTTGCACTAAATAATTGTGATTTTATTTTTTCACAAAATACAAAGCTTTCTTGTGTTAGAACACAAGAAAAATCCTCAAAGTGTTTATGGGAAAAAAATCAATGTTTATTTTTCATTCTTAAAATATTAAAATTGTCATGACAAAGTATGCTCACTTTGTATAGCATGCAGTTTATTGCTTAGGAGTTGCATATGCTTTAAAAGGGCACACATACAAATATACAAACATTTCAAAAGTTTAATGAAAATACTGAAAGACATTTGATTATCTCTTCAAACAAAGCACAATCTGAAAACAAAATAAAGGATACCAAACTGTATTTTAATTACTGATAGTAGGTCTTAGTAACACTCATTTATAAATTACCTCGGCTTATGTTTTGTAAATAGAAGTTCTCCGGCCTTCTAGAAATAAATTAGAAAGTATATTCTCAAAATATTAAGTGTATTTTGAGACTTCAAAAGTCTTTATGACAATTAAACATTATATACCATATTTTCAGAAAAATTGTACCTATCACTATAGCTTATTGCATTACTTTAGTTTCAGTAGCTTTTCCAAACAAAATCTACTTCTAATTGTTTTAATTATTATAAATTCTAACAGCTGGCAAAACATCTCATAACTTATCCTAGTTAGAAGAGGTACTATTGAAACAGAAATCCTTAAATAAAAGGAAACAAAATTCTACCAGACACATACAAAAAAACAAACAAACAAGAATACATAGCACATTTTATTTACAGTTACACTTTTAGGTTTCCTTAACCAAGAAGCAGCAAAGGGCTCCAATGCACATTTAATTATAGAATTACATAGAAAGAAAAAATTACAGGTATTTGACAAATTTTCAGGCGGAGGTATAATACAAATTTTTTGAGATTTAGAAATATTTCTCTTTTTTTAAAGAAATCTTTGAGATCATAGAAATACTTCTCATTTTTTTTTTTTGGTCTGGTTTATAGGGCCTGGTAGCAAAACTGTCTGTTGTTCAGAGTCTATAAGTGTAAACATTTTCATTGCAAAGAAATCAATCTTTAGGGGCTGTGTGCTATTCTTCACTGCAGTCCAAAGCATCTCCTAATCAAGGTCTGATGTCTTATCAAAGCAAGGAGAGGGCTGTGTGAAGTCCAGGCTAGAAAAGAATAGAGCCCACTTCCTTGACTGTTGTTGTACTTTAGGAAATATGAAGTAATGCATTAAGCTAGTAAGTAGTTTCTAAAGAAATATCACCAGAATAAGTTAGCTGTATTGAAAAGTAGTACTCTTAATTCTGCCACAAGCCAGATTCCAGCGAGACTACCTCATTCCAACTCTACTGCAGTTCAAGGAGTAAGTAGAACACTTAGATAATTAACATACCTATGATAACCTCCAGCTGAAACACAGCAGAAGCGCATTGCTCTAGACTAAAAAGGATTACATGGTAAGATCCCAGATCAAACAAACAAGTCAAAAAAGAAATGTAGTGCTAAACTAGTTTAAGAAAAGGAGACTACAGATGTGTCTTAATAAAACTATAATTAGCATTGTTTTGTATTGCAAACAGGTACTATTAAATGCGGTGTGGCTTCTTCCAGTCTCTTTTTTTGCTAGTCCTGGGGCCTGGGCACTGTCCCTGAGCTTCTTTTGCTCAAGGCTGGCACTCTACCACTTGAGCCACAGTGCCACTTCCAGCTTTTTCTGTGTATGTGGTACTGAGGAATCAAACCCAGGGCTTCATGAATGCTAGGCACTCTACCACAAAGCCAGTCTCAATGTGGTTTGTCTGATCTTTACTGAGACTTACTATAATTATGTTTTCAGTAAGAGATACGTTTTGCATTTGTAAATGTTTAAAGTTGCCACAAGAGAAGTTAAGGAATGGTGAATTCTGAGATGATACCGACAGGTTTTGGCATAAAAGAGGGAGGAACTACGCTGATGGCTCAAGCCTGCCTATAATCCTAGCTACTCAGAAGGCTGAAATCTGAGGATCAGGACTCAAAGCCAGCCAAGAGAGTCCATGAGACTCTCATCTCCAATTAACCACCAGGAAGCCTGCAGTGGCAGAGTTCCAACTTTGAGCAGAAAAAGCCAAGCAAGAGCATAAGGCCATAAGTTCAAGCCCCAATACTGCTTGGAGGGAGATCTATTATCTTTTAAGAGAAAATCTGTTATGGTGTCTCCAACCAACTTCATGTCTTGATGGCTTTTCTTGCTCCTATACACTTAATATCACCTGTTTCAGTATCTTCAGCATAAACCATCTGTGGTTAAGGCTGAGAGGTGTGTGCACATCCATTCAGTCTCTGCACACACAAAGGGACACACTATTGGGCTGGCTCATGCCTACTGAGAAATACTGTGTCATGTTTCTGATGACATTATATAAATGATATGTTAAGTTTTTATGGAATCCCAAACACACAAAAGTACATCAGCTTCTATGGAAATATTATTGATAATGGCAAAAAAAAAAAGGTGTGGGCTTTTTAATTTCATGCATCCAACTAAACCACTTTGAACCAATTAAGATGCATATTTACATATTTGAAGTTGAGAGCAACCCAGGAATAGAAATTAATTCAAACATGAACTTCAAGGGTGTCTTCTAGAACATGCTTCTTTTCCTTGAAAAGGAAACAGAAGAATCTTGCATTACATCCTTTCCCTACTACATTCCTATGTGAGTGAGAGTTGTGAATGGCACCCAGATGGTACTCAGGAAGCGCTGACTTTAAATCGTGAGAACCAAGCTCCTACTGCCCAATGCTTTCAGAGGAAGTATACAATTTAAAAAACTGACATTTACCAAAACTTTGTGTCAAATAAATTCTTAAAATTTAGGAATGATTTTTATTCAAATACCAAATAAACTAGGCAGTTTTAAAAACTAGATCTTTCAAACACAGATCTGGGTTATCCATAATATATGGATGTCACCCTTAGAGATGGTAGCAGTGTAACTATGACATAACAAAATAACAGCTGGAATAGTAATCATTAAACAAAACAAAGTGATCATACCAGACTTAAGCTTGAGTTAATTCTCACACTCATATGTAACTCCATTTTGAGTTTTAAGTAAATGCAAATGATCTTTAAAAGGTTTTAGACATTAGAATGCGAACTCCGTAAACTTAAGCTCATAACTTTGAAATCTCGCAAATAATATACTTAAATATACGATCTCGCATGCTACTGTTGATTTTCAATCTCTTTTTAAGTGTCACAAGAACTTTTATTTTCTAGAATACTACACATTCAGATTGTCTCTGATCTTGTCTAGAAAAATAGAATTGCTTAAAAATTTATACCAATTTGCCTTTGCATTTTTATAAATATTTTCATAGAATTGTGAAATATCAGAATGCCTAATAGAATCATAAATACTTAATATCTAAAATACCTAGCAAAAAGTTTATCACTGAATAAATGAAACATTCATTGTTTCATTAAATGATATGCTCTGTCTTTATTTGTGTTTTAGGTTGATGGATTCAATCACAGAATATTGAAGATTAGCTCTTGTAATTATCTGTAGAGTAGGGTCATCTCCATTTCATTTCTGTGTAGGAAGAAATACAGCCTAGTTTTAGATCCTACGTTTGGTTTGTGGCATTAGCTGTCATGCAATCAGGATAAGGATTGCTGCCTAAAGTAATATAACAAGGCTTACTTTAAAACACTGATATTTTAAATTGGTTTAGTAAACAGGTATGCCAATCAGTGAAAGTAAAAATGAGCTTTGAAGCAAGAAACTTCTCTGGAAAATGCTCTGATTAGTAAGCCTCACTGACATAGCCTAACATCGACACCTTTGAAGTGGTGGGACTAAAAACTGTGTTCAGAACTACTGCAGTATTCAAAGAGTCAAAAATGGTTATTTCAAAATGTGTTTCTTTTTTAAAGGAATTAATTCCCAAAATAGTTTTTAATATAAATATTATCCTTTTCTTTAAAAAAAAAAAGCTACTTTTCTTACAAAAGAACAAAAAAAAATAAAAATCACTCACTTTCCTCACCTGCACACTCTGCCCCACCAATAAGTCTTTGATGCCAATGAGGTGGCCAGCAATAAATTTAGTGACCAATTTACAACACAAGCAACTTAAAAAAAAAAAAAACCTCCTATATTTTATACTACTTTGTCTTTTAAAAATAAATTTACCAGCCTGGCACCTGTGGCTCACACCTGTAATCCTAGCTACTCTGGAGGCTGAGATCTGAGGATAGCAGTTCAAAGCCAGCTCCAACAGAAGAGCCCATAAGACTCTTATCTCCAATTAACCAGTTAAAAAGCCAAAAGTAGAGTTGTGGCTCAGGTGGTAGAGTGACGGCCTTGAGTGGAAAGAGCTGAGGGCCCTGAGTTCCAGCCCCAGTACCAGCATACATATGCCAAAATTACCTGATATAAGCCAATCAATCCCATTTAGTTGACTGAAGGATAAAGTGTAGAACTTCTCAGGTTCTCACTGCATTAGGACAATCAAATTGGGTTAAATGTCTTGATCATATTCAGCCAGCCTTCTGTCATCTCCAAAATAGGAACAAGGAATTCAGAGTCAAACATTCTCCTTCAAACTGAGAAACTACATGGATTCAGTCTTTTGGTTGGGTTCAATTAAGTTCAAGTATTCCTCACTAGATGAACTAAATACTCTCCCTCCCCTTAGAACAATCAGTTAAGGTCAAGTATGTGAGTGAAATAAATAAAGGCAATAATAGCTAAATATGTAATTCTAGTATTTATATTGTTAGAATCAAAGTAAAAGTATAGAAACACACACACAACATAAGCAGTCATTTCTCTTCATGTAAGACAATAATTTTGATAATCAGAATACTTGGATTGAATTACCTTCTTTCCTGCTCTTTCTTTTTCCAGAAAGACAAGAAAATCTAAAGCATTCAAAATGCTGACTAAGCAAGCAGGAGTAGAAACTGAATAAAATATGAATACTGATTCTTTTGTTGTCCAGTCTCACCAACAAGAGGCCTATTTTCGGGGCATGACAAAGGCAAACTGCATATCACCAGTGTGGAGCTCAGTTGTGAACCCAGGGGAAATGCTAGAAGTATGTTTTTCATAGAAAAAAATGCCAAGGAAGACAAGACAGCAGTGTTAAATAAAGCATTTTTCCTTAATGATTAGCTTAAGTAATCACCAAACACCGACCAATATGCACTTTGAGAAGAAATCCATCCCTTAAGAAGATCCATCATCTTTCTTAAAATATAAAAACAACAATTTGAGAAAATGCTAGAAATAGGAGGAGACAAATAATTAAATGTATGAAGCATATTTCCATAACTAAAAGAAGGAAATATTCTCAAGTGAACAAAATGTATCCAGCATCAACAGATAATAGCAGATCTGAAATCAAAACCAGAACTTTTTGAATAGCCTAGGAAAAAAGAGATGACAGCAATCTGAAAAGGAAAATGGTACTGATGTTAGAGCTGTCTACATACTGAAAAGTAGTTCCCATACTTTCTCAACAGAACCACTGGCTACACTAAGTGTGCACCAACTTATCACAATCATCATCATAAAGAGAAAACTACCGCTTGCAGGCTAGGAGATTCCTGGGAAGATTTGCCACTAGATTTGTAACTTTTATTTAAACCTCTCAATTTTTAATCCATGCTTCTAATGCAGAGGGAAAGAAATTTTGGAAAGGGAAACTAAATTTGAAGTTTCTCTTTTCTAAAAGTTAAAAAAAAAGACAACAAAACCCCGAATAATAATTCTAATTAATAGAGAAGCACAAGAACATGCCAAGAATTCATCCTATTAGTAGATATAGATGAGTAGTAATGAGGATTGCTTATCTAAACAAGGTGTTTGACAAAAGCACACCTTCAGTCAAGTTTTCCATTCTGAAGACTACTTCTGGCTTTCTCTTGTCTGATGAGAGAGATGACTTTGATGCACCCTTTTGAAATTTTGATCATCCACATGACATTCATCACATCCAAAACAAAACAACTACAGATCCAGGAACACTGGACAAAGAAGCCAAGTCTTTTGTAGGGTTCTGTTCCACACACAGAATATATGAAGATATAAAGTGGAGGTATCACGATGATCCGCACGATGAAGAACACTATGGTCATGAGTATCCCATTGAGGACATTCGCTTTGGAAAACTTAGGGTACTTCAGGACTTCAAAGAACCACCTGAAAAGAGAATGAATAAAATATCACATCCATTGGGAAACTCTGGAAGTTAATCAGCTTTGTGATTGTACACAAGTCAGAGATCATCCCTTTCCAATTCATATGAAGATCACTAGGTTGCCTGTGGCTCACACCTGTAATACATGCCACTCAGGGGGCTGAGATCTGAGGATCACAGGTCAAGCCAGTCTTGTTAGGGAATTCTGTGCCTCTCATGTCCATTTAATCAGCAAAAAACTTGAAGGGGAGGTAAGGCTTAAATGGCAGAATGCTACCCTTGAGCACAAAAGCACAAAAAAGCATTCAGGCCATGAATTCATGTCCCAGTACCAACTGACACACATGTACACATGGATGTACACACACACACAGACACATAGACACATAGACACACAGACACACACACACACACATACACACACACACCGTACACTGGCCAACAGCATGTTGGGCCCACAAGCCCAACTTTTCTGACCTGACCTCAAGCAACAGTAAAAATGTCCTGCTTAATTTCAGTGGCCACAAATCACATAAGGCTACAAAAACATTTGAAACATTCAAAGTCTGCCTGAGGAATTGGTTTTACATTTTTGCTTAGGGCTGGGAATGTGGCTTAGTGGTAGAGTGCTTGCCTAGCCTGCATGAAGACCTGGGTTGCATTCCTCAGTATCACATACACAGAAAAAGCCAGAAGTAGTGCTGTGGCTCAAGTGGTAGAGCGCTAGCCTTGAGCACAGAGAACAGGCTCAGGGCCAGTGCCCAGGCACTATGTTCAAACCTCAGGATTGGCAAAAAAAAATATATGCATTTTTGCTCATTTTAATCAACTAAAACATAGGTTTGGGATCCCTAATCACAAAAATCTCAATCTTGAGATGTTCTGAACATCTAAAACATTTTTTGAGCACCAACATGATGCCGCAAATGGAAAACTCCTCAATTGACTTCCTGACACATCACAATCAAAATTCTATCGGCTCTGTGTATAAAGTATTTATGAAACACAAATGAATTTCATATATAGATGTTTCATATACATTTCATACGTATCCTCTTCATCTCATTATGTAATATGTAAATATTCTAAAATCCTTAAAAATAAACATCTGAAATTTGAAATGCCTCTGGCCCTGAGCATTTCAGATTAAGGGATATTTGAACTGCACATGGCTTGTGGGTACTCCATTGGACAATGGTGATTTGCAGGAAGATAAAACCGCCTGGGAAAGAGGAGATGACCAAGAACACTGACAATAGAAATGGAGACGTGGTAAGCAATATTGAGTAGTCTTCTGGAACCGTCCAGAAGACTCCGGCTGGGAGATGTAGGTCATTGATAGAACACCTGCTGACCATGTGCCAGGCCTGAGTTTAAGCCCCACCTCTGGGACAACTGAGCCATGTGCTGATCAAGCAAATGCAAGAACAGCAATGGCACATGATTTTCTGAGAGAAAAAATTAACTGTAATATGAGGCTACTAGTAGCTAGTATTAAGCGTGCTCTTTTTATATACAGAACACAACTGAAGACAGGAATATTAAATTATGTGCCTGGTCCAAGTAGTAATAGCAAGGAAGGAGCAAAGCTAACCTAAAACTTGAGTTTACTTGATTCCAAAACTTATTCATAACCCATTGCACCAAGATGAATAAGACCTGACGGGAAAACTGAACCAGGCCAAAGCATCACTCAGCAATGCTTAAGGAAAAAAGCGGCGGGGGTGGGGGGTGGGGAGGAAGTGGGGGGAGTAGTGAGGAAATACAAAGAGAACTAGCTGTAGTATCCATTGGGAAAGTCAATAAAGTTTGGCAATAGTGTGGCCAATACAACCAAGTCCACAGATGCAGCAGGCGCCAAAGCAAGTTCATTAGATTTTGCAACTGGAAGTCATTGATATCTTTTTTTTTTTTTTCTTTTTGTCGGTGGTGGGGCTTGAACTCAGGGCTTGGGCGCTGTCCCTCAGCTCTTCAGCTCAAGGCAAGCACTCTACTGCTTGAGCCACAGCGCTACTTCCCATTTTCTAGTGCTTTATTGGAGATGAGTCTCACGGACTTCCTTCCCAGGCTGGCTTTGAACCGTGATCCTCAGATCTCAGCCTCCTGAGTAGCTAGGGTAACAGGCGTGAGCCACCAGCGCCCAGATTCATTGATACATTTAATTTAAAAAACAACACACATTCCAACCAAATGGCAAAGGAAGAAACCTAATTGCAGTGGTTTACCCACAAGGAAGATATGACAGCGTACAGCAATCAAGTGTAAACTATGTATTTCCAAGGTTTCTTAGTCTGTGGTTTAATCAATATCTACTAAGTTTACCACTTGCTGAATATGTACTGAGTGATGAGCACTGTGCCTGGGGCTTTACGTATCTAATCCTATCGAATCTTCTCCATAAACTAGGAGAGGGGGGTGGGAGGCTGAGTCATCATCCCTACTTTTAGGCAAGAAGACAGGCTTAGAGAAGATAAATCATCTTCCTTTCATAAGCAGTGACAAAGGGAGAGCTTGATTTGAATCCAGGTCTTTCAGCTTCAAAGACCACGCACTTTCCCTCTGTTTCCTCTTTATCCTTAAGGCTTGCAAAAATTACCTTGGCCTCAAGCCCAAGGAATGGATTATCTTCCAAACATATGAAAAACTGGCAAATGAGACAAGATTAGGTAATAGTTGAAGAAGCAAAGATTGTACAACATATCTGCAATTCCTTCTTTCCTCCTAGGTGGAAAGATCAACCTCTCACCATCCCATTGCTTAAAAAGACCTGTAAATATACTAATACTAGACATCCTAATAAAGAGGCTGAAAGTATTTATAGAGGAAGAGACTTCTCTACTGAGTCTGACCAGCTTATGGTAAGGGATTCAAGAGGCATGAATTTCTGGGCAATGACTGGGTGAGCAATAGCACACAAGTGAAGCAACTATTTGAAACCAGAACTCCTCTATGTCAGCAATATAAACTGCATGACTTAAAGAGCCTTCACAGATAATCTTGTTCCAAAGTATGTCCAGTGCACAAAGGATGCTAGGAAGTTAATGCTCTAAACATTTCCCTCCTTTGCTTGTGCCCTGAGATTGCAGGTAGTATTGAAATCATTCACAAGGCTTCATGCAGGGTAGGCTCTGTCATTCAAATGTTTGCTTTGAGACTCACCTTCTGAGTTATCCCTGCACAAAATATCCTTCAGGTCTTGTGATTTTGAAGGATAGATAGGTAAAATTCATTCACAAGATCTGGCAAAAATGAAAGATATGAAAACTAAAGGAAGCAGACAAGAAAGACCAGAGGTACAACAGACAGTAAGAATCTAACACTGATTTTGAGTAGTAAGAAACAAGGTTGAAAACCAAGGGAGCACATTGACAGAGAACTGCAAAGGTCAGTGAGAAAGCTGTCAACAGGACAAGGTTCTTAGTAAGAACGTAAGTACTAAATATTAAGTGGTAGAGAAGTGGAACTGTGACTCAAATGGTAAAGCACTAGCTTTGAACACAGGAACTCAGGGACAACACCCAGGCCCTGTGTTCAAGCTCCAGAAGCAGCACAATGCCAGGTGCTTGTGGCTCACACCTGTAATCCTAGCTATTCAGGAAGGTAAGATCTGAGGATCCAGGTTCTAAACCAGCCCAGGCTATAAAGTCCATGAGACTCTTATCTCAAATTAACCACCTGAAAACTGGAAGTGGTGCTGTGGCCCAAAGTAGTAGAGCACTAGCCTTGAGTGGAAAGAGCTCGTGGACAGCACCAGGCCCTGATCAAGCCCTACAATCAGCCAAAACAATTGTTTTAAGACCAGGTAAGAGTGATAAAGGTAAGAAATAGACTCTTTCAAGATCTAGGGAATGTACTATGCTTCAGTGCTTTTTTCTAAGGAAGAGAAAATGGAAAAGAAAAACCCATCCCAGTAGAGGAAGAATCATTAGCCACCACCTTACCACTTCCCCCCTGTTAACCATCCAGATAAGATATGATAAAGAGTTCTCCATAAACAGGGCACCAGTGGCTCACGCCTATAATCCTAGCTACTCAGGAGGTTGAGATCTGAGGATTGAGGTTCAAAGCCAGCCTGGGCAGGAAAGTCCATGAGACTCTTATCTCCAATAAACCACCAGAAAACCAGAGGTGGTGCTGTGGTTCAAGAGGTACAGTGCTTGCCTTGAGCTGAAGAGCGCAGGGACAGTGCCCAAGCCCAGAGTTCAAGCCCCACGATGGACCAAAAAAATAAATAAAAAAAAAAGAGTCCTCCACTTCTAGGTGATTCCTGTATTATCTATTCATGAGAAAAGCATCAAACACACACAGACTTCAGGATGTACTGGGAGAAAGCTGGCCCCTACTCCTTGACCAGGAGTCAAGGTCAAGAAACACAAGGACAGGGTAAGAAAGTGTTACAGAACATTAGAGGCCAGGAAGCCATGGCCCCAGACTGAGGAGATAAAGCAGAAGGACTGGCTGGGTTCTATCCTGTAATAGAAGCCACTGAAGAGAAAACCAAGCCAGAAGTTTTCTTGGTAACAATGTATCAGGTCTGTTTTCTTAGTTTTAGGAATGCTTGCTCCATGGTAAATAAGGTAACAACAGAGGAATCTGGGTGAAGGGTAAACTGGAGTTCTGAACAACTTTGCAACTTTTCTATAAATCTAAAATAAAAACAAGGGCCCCAAATGACTTTATACTATAATAAAAAAAAAAAAAAACAACCCTGAAATCAAGGATAAATAAGTGGATGGTCAAAGAGAAGGGTTCATAAATAAGTGGGTGTGCTCAAGAATGAAAACAAGTAGGATTATTAAAATCTTCACACTTCCCAAAGCAATCTACATGTACAATGTAATTCATTCATTCTCTATGACACACTTACTGGTCACTAATGGCTTCTGGAAAACTTAAAGTTATTTGGAAGAATGAGGTCAGGAGGATTGCAGTCAAAGGTAGCCCAGGCAGAAAAGTTTTTGAGACTCGCCCCCACTTCTCAACCTTAATCTAAGCACAGTGGGACATTCCTTTCACCACAAGCTATATGGGAGGCTGAAATGAGAATGATCACACACAGTTCCAGGCCAGAAAGCCCATGAAAACTGCATCTCTACAGAGAGAAGCTAGATGTGGCAGCATGCACTTATGATCCTATAAATGGAGAGCCCCAAGTAACCCTAGCTACTCAGGAGGCTGAGATCTGACAATCCAACTCCAGCCAATCAACAATTAACTACCAAAAAAGCTGGAAGTAGAGCTGTGGCTCAATTTGTAGAGTGCTATCCTAGAACAAAAAAAAAGCTCAGGGACAGTGCCCTGCCCTGGAGTTTAAGCCCAAGAACTTGCAACAACAAGAAATAGTAAAAGAAAAAGAAAATACACAAATGATCAATGAGTATATGAAAAGAAGCTTAACACCATGAATCAAAGAAACACAAATATTAAAGTTACAATGAGGTATTACCTCACACCCATTAATATTGTCAATGATTTAAAAAAAAAGGGAGGGGGTAGAAAAATAACACATACTGATGAATCTATGGAGGAATTAGAATCCTGTGCATTGTTGGAAGGAATGTAAACAGATAATCTAATAAATAAGCATGGAGGCTCCTCAAAATGATCAAGGAAAGCCTATGACATGCTCTGATATGAGTCTTCATGATGTTATGCTGAACTCAGTATGTCAGTCACAAAAAAACAAATATTGTACGACTCTAGTGTCATAGACAGTTTCTACTCTTTGAGGAGGGGGAATAAGAATTTAGTGGAAGGGCTGGGAACATGGCTCAGTGGAAGAGTGCTTGTCTTGCAGGCATGAGGCCCTGGGTTCGATTCCTTAGCACCACATAAGAAGAAAAAGCTGGAAGTAGTGCTGTGGCTCAAGTGGTAAAGCGCCAGCCTTGAGCTGAAGAGCTGAGGGACAGTGCCCAGTTCCCACGACCGACCGACAAAAAAAAAAACAAACAATTTAGTGGATACAGTTTCCATCCAGCAAGATAAAGTTGTAGCTTCCTTTCTGTTGTACAAACAGTGTGGAGGATAGGATCAGATCTGTAGTCTTCAAAATGGTTCAAATAGCTTAAAAACCGCTGATAACTATTAACATTATGTGTGTGTTGTATATTTGCAATAAAAAAAGTAGTCTGTGAAATAGAAAAGATTTATAAATGGACCAAGATAATGTTGGCATCAAAATTTGGAGACAGGAGGAAATGATGAGTTTCAGCAAAAGAACTGGGCCTGAGCGGAGATGGTCTAGGGCTTTGTCTGTTTTCTCCACAAATCACTGCAGTGAACTGTAAGGTTAAGTGTGTAGCGCCATTGTGGAGGTGTACCACCCCCACTGACCAGCGGGGACAGCTGAAATACACTCCTTGAGCCTTTTCAAGGCTTGTTTTCCTCATCTATACTACCATGACATTATTTCATTCATACCACAGGGTCTCATGTTTGATACTGTGGCTCCAGCAATTGGGGGCCGGGAGGAGGCGGGGAGATGCCCCCAACTAAAAAAGTAAACAGCAAACTTTAATTGATCGATTGATCAGAATAACTTACCGCTGATTCACAAAAGGGCTGGAAAGTTCTGCAAGTAGGCGAAAATTGGCAACGAACGCCAGCATTCCTTGGGTCTGTATGGTAAATGTAAAACATGGTGTCAAGGCCAACATTCTTACTGAAATGTTCATATACTTGAGAAATAATTCATATCTCCTAGACATACTGTAATAATCAATATGAACACATCCTACCCATTACTGCTAAAGCAATTTTCTTCTTTATGAGAATTTACAAATGTGCTGAGCATTATAGAGCATTTTAAAGACATACTTGCTGGAAGTGGTGCTGTGGCTCAAGTGGTAGAGTGCCAGCCTTGGGCAAAAAGAGGCTCAGGTTCAAGCCCCAGGACCAGCAAGGAAAAAAAAAGACACACTCATGTTCATTTTGCATATGTAATGTGAACGTGAAAGAACAGGTTTCAATTTGTTGACTCAGGTTTGATTAATGAACTCTATAATGAACCATTAGTGATGGCATTCTCAAATTACTACAGAAAGAATGATCAAGTGCTAGTGTGAATCTCAAAGTTAAAGAATTTTAAAGTAGTTAAACACCCAACAGGATCCCATTTTTTAAAATCCATTTGTCCAACATATTATTAGTTCTTCATCCTTTTCCTCCTAAAATGGAAGTAAGGAAATAAGGAAATAAAGACCAGTTGATGGACGGAGACTGACACCTGACTAGGGTTTATTATTGTTGTTTGTTTCCTTCCCTGCTGGCATCTCCAGACTTAGGGTCAGGAACCCTTTCCTCTTAGGGTTACAGCTTTGGGTGATCTCTGTCCAACATTCAGCAGCTCAGTGTGCTGTTACAGCTCTGAGCTGCTCCTCAGAGCAGGAACTGGGAACTCTAGGTGGCTTTCAGGAATTCCTCCAGCAGCCATGACTTGCAGCATGTCCAGTCTCAGTTCTCTACCATCTCTTACTCTATCCCCTCTCTTGGTCTATTATTCCTAGTCTCTGCTTTCCAAGTCCCATCTCTTACTCCTCCCGTCTCTGAAACTACCCTGTTCTTCACCCAGCTAACTCAGTCCATTCTCCCCAGGATAAGTGATTATTTGGCTGAGGCTTTATTGGGACCCATGCCTCAGCACAGCACCAGGTCTCCCTGACTGCTGCCCTGAAGAGGAGCCGGCTGCTTACCTAGCTGGCCAGTCATACAACATGCACACTAGCTGCCATGCGTGGGGGAAGGCCTCCCTTACCTGAGGTTCTAGGCCAAAACTGAGCAAGATGTTGCAGGAGCTTTGCTCTGTGTGGAATCGTGGGTTGGGGAGGGGTATTAGATCAGATATTCTATATTAAACAGGAAATGCTGAAGCACACTCAAAAATCACACACACACACACCACTTAACATTATTGCTATGACCAATCCCTCAATTCATAATGACTTGTAAATTATATATTTATGCTTCTAGGTAGATTTCTTTCTCTAAGAGCTACAGAAATATCAATAAGCTTAATTCCTAAGAATTACTTCTGTCAATCTTTGCTTATTAGTATGTAAGAAGTTAAAAGAAAATCAGTAGGAAAAAAAGATTGTTACACATATTATTTGAGGTTTTAAGATACTTTATTGGGTATTATTAAGCATATTACTTAAGGTTTTAAGACTTTTTATTGGATAAATAATGAATTACTTAATGTAAGCTTAGTGGAAAACAGAAATCTCCTAGATCTTTTTTTTTTTTTTTTTTTTTGCCAGTCTTGGGGCTTGAACACAAGGCTTGGGTGCTGTCTGTGAGCTTCTTTTGCTCAAAGCTAGCACTCTTCCATTTGAGCCACAGCAACTCTTCAAGCTTTTTCTGAGTAATTTATTGGAAATAAGAGTTACAGGGACTTTCCTGCCCAAGTTGGCTTTGAACTGTGATCCTAAGATCTCAGCCTCCTGAGTAGCTAAGATTACAGATGTGAGCCACCAGTGCCCAGCTCTCATTCATTTCTCATAGACCTTAATTTTGCTTTGGTAAGCTATATTAATTAGGTGGTTAAAAAAAACACACAACAGAAATTTTTACCACTCATACTTGTTTTCCAAATGTACTGTAACTCACTATCTACAGGTATAACTTGACCAGGGAGAGGAGGTGATTCCCAAGAAAGAGAAAAACACCTGAGCATACTAACCAAGCCAGAAGAAATATAGACATGTACAAAAGGATCATGGTTTGTCCTTTAAAATAAGAAAGCAAGGGCCAGGCGTGGCAGCCCAGGTCTTTAATCTCACCTATTTGGGTGGCAGAATCAGTTGGCTCCAGGGAGGCCTGGCAAGATGTCACTGAAACCCTCTCTCAAAAACAAGTCATGCTAGTTGCCTGTGGTTCACGCCTGTAATCCTAACCAGGAGGCTGAGATCTGAGAATCACAACTGAAAGTTATCCGAGGAAGGAAAGTCCATGAGACTCTTACACCTAAAAAGCTGAAGTGGAGCTGTGGCTCAATGGTAGAGTACTAACTTTGAGTGGAAAAGCTAAGAGACAGTGCCCAAACCCCAAGTTCAAGCCCCAGGACAAACACTAAGTAAATAAACAAAAATGGATGAATGAATGAATGGATACACAAATAAATGAAAAGTCAGATGAAGTACCCATGCCTATAATCCTCACTATTCTGCATGGTCCCCAGCCTGTCCTTGACAAAAACATTAAGACATTAAAGCACAGACAGGCTCCTTTCCCTTTCCCTTTCCCCATCCTCTTCCAAAAAATATAGCCTGCCATTGTTTTCCTTGGTTATTATGATGCTTTTCTCCAGGGTGAATACTGAATGCCAGGCAAAAAAGATACAGGATTTTTTTAACCTCTCTATATAGAGAGACAAGAAGAAGTTAAGATCTAAATTACTCTGTCAGAGAATTTTTAAACTTCAGCAAATTTAGCAGAGGTACAGAAATAGTGATCAAGATATTATATAATCTAGAAATAACCTATAACAACTTAGATGCAAAGAATCTTGTTATTCATCTTTTCCTTCAGTGTGCCATATATTTCAAACCTACTTCTATTCATCACTGTAAGTTTTATTTAGTACCAATGTCAAAATCATTTAAGAAAAAAAAGTTTCAATAGTTGCAGAATTCTCAAGTCAAAGCACTTTTCAAACACGAACCCTTATACCACAGTAAAAATTTCAGAACTGGCCAGGCACTAGTGGCTCATGCTTGTAATCCTAATTACTCAGGAGGCTGAGATCTGAGGACCACAGTTCAAAGCCAGACCAGGCAGGGAAGTCCATGAGAATCTTATCTCCAATTAACTACCAAAAAAGCCAGAAGTGGCTCAAGTGGTAGAGCACTACCCTTGAGGGAAAAAAAAAAGCTCAGGGACAGTACCCAGACCCTGAGTTCAAGCCCTAGGAACAGCACACATGCACGCACGCACACACACACACACACACACACACACACACTCACATTTTCAGAACTGTTTACACCCAAAAGTAATAATGATAACTTTTCTAGTGAGCAACAAAAATGCAGAGTTGGAATTCACTGCACCACAGAGAAAATTTCATATATTGAATGAAGAAAAATAAGATCTAAAAATACCACAGAATCTCTCTAACTATAAAACTATAAACATTCTTCATTCCATCTATTTTATTTCTATTTTTCTGCTATGAATAGAATCACAAGATAAATTTATTTCAGACTAAAATAACAGAACAGAGGAAGATATATCAAACAGCTACTAATTTCTTTTTTCTGCAAGTTCCAGCGTGCATTTGATTTTTTTTAAGGCATGAAAACCCAAAGGGAAACTAGTATTCATCTCACATAATTGAACATTCAACTTGCCAATTCAGACGCTGTTTGCCAAGCCTGTGATTTTAACAGCAAAACAGAACAGCAGTTCATAATGCCCACATTTTAAAATGCTCTGTAAAGTGCTCTCTTATCTTTCATCACAAGTTTGTATAATTCTTTCATAGCCCACTGGTTATTTGTCCAGGGAATATGCTTCTAAATTATAGCAAGATATTGAACTCAGGATTGTTAACCAGTCTGCATGTCTTCTAAGCAAAAATACCCAGGAAACAAAATATCTGCATAACAAGTATCTAAGACCTCTATAAAACCAGGTTCAATTGATTTAAACTTTTTAAAAAGAAGATGAAAACAAAGAGTAGAAATCATACACACACACACACACACACACACACACACACACACACACACACACACACACACACACACACACACACACACACACCCCACATATCTATTGTTTCAGAAAAATAAAGCAAATGTAGATTCCTTACACAAGCATTTACACATTCAAAAAAAGTTTTTAAATATAAATATAAATGTGAATTATTTAGATTTGTGTCTGAGGGGGTAATATACAGGGATGTTTTGATACAGCTAATTCTGGCAGAAATGATGGCCAAATCTGCTTTGGATTCATAATCCCCATTTGTGTCAACAAAAACAAAAACAGAAGAATCTGGAATTTTAAAAATCCCCCAAATACTCATAAGTACTCAATAATACAAGGATTTAAAACTACTAAGTTGGAGGGGTGGGGAAGCAAGAGTTTACATACAAGTTTTAAAACAGAAAAAAAAACCAGAATTGGATACCACATCGATTACTTAAAATTCATAAAATTTTAGTTTGCTTTCATTACTTATAAAATGTCTATTTTGAGCATGTTGGAATATCTAGGTTAAAAACAATGATTGTAGAACAATCTAACAAAGATGCAAGGAATAGCAACTGCCAGTTTATGAACTCTGCGCCATTTTGGGCACAGAATTTAATATGCTTTAGTGCCTGAGAGTTGTTTCAAGAATTCTCTCTTAACTTCTGTTTTTAAGCAGGTGCAGTGTGGCACACCTATAGTCCTAACTAATTGAGAGAATCAGAAAGATCACTTGAGCCCAGAAGTTTGGGGGCCAACCTGGGCAGCACAGCAAAATCTTGCCTCTTGGGGAGAAAAACAAAAACTCCAAAAAACAAAACAAAACAAAACTCCCTGAAAACTTCAGTTGTGAAACACTATTGATAAAATCTCTGAGCAAGATTCTCCTAGTGATTAAGCCTACTTAATTTTATTTATGAATGAATTTATATAGAATTAAACAGAAATCATGGACTGGGAAGGTGGCTCAGTGGTAGAGTGCTTGCCTCACATGCATGAGGCCCTGGGTTCGATTCCTCAGCACTACATAAGCAGAAAAAGCCGGAAATGGCGCTGTGGCTCAAGTACTAGAGCACTAGCCTTGAGGTGAAGAGCTGAGGGACAGAACCCAGACCCTGAGTTCAGGCCCCATTACTGACAAAAAAATAAAAAATAAAACAGAAACTATGTGGATGTTAGACCTCAAAAATATAAAGATATATGTAAACACAAATAGGATATGTGTGTGTGTGTGTGTTCCCATACTGAAGATCAAACTGGTAATGGTATACACGGGAGGAAGAGTCTACGGTGAAACCCCTTTGAACAATTTACAGACAGTTTAACAAAGCAAGGGCTTCGAGGAATGGAAAGAGGAATGGAGGGTGAATAGAGTCCTAAGACTCAATGTGTGTATGTGAAAATGGAAGTAGGAAACAAGATTGGTGGAGGAAGGGAATGTGGGAGGACGTGAGAATGATGGAAGGATTATCTCTGATCAAGATGCACTGTACTCATAAACTGATATGTGGAATTGAAATCCCCTTTTACAACTACTTAAAGATAATAAAAAATTGAAAATATATGTACTGGTCACAGTAAATTCCCTTTGTACAACCAGTTCAAGATATTACTACTACTAGAAAGAAATCTTTCAGCTTATATAGCTAAATAGGAATTTGTACTTATCTCTCGCTATTAAATGATACATGCATCTAGAAAGACAAATACCTACAGCTATATACCCAGTGTTTTTGAACAGACACTTGGGGCTGAAGGAGAGGCTCAGGTAGAGCGTCAGCCCAATGAGCAAAAGCTTCAGATACCAAGTTTGAGTCTTGGTCTCTGACAAAAATAAATAAATACAAAAATATATGAATAAATAAAAATAAATACAAATTCAAAGAATAGGGTCATCTTTCTGTCTCTGTTTATGAGGACATATAGACGCTCTAATAGAAACACATGTGAAGATAACACCTCACAAGAGTGATCCCTGAATGAATTTGAAGATGGTATGTATAAATTAAGACTTGTACATTGAGTTACATTCACCCCTGAGTTTCTGTTACCCAGTCTGGTTGGCTAGTAAGGCCACAGGAAATTCTGGCACTCACCAGTACTATGTAGTATGCATACAGTGCTGTACAATGATGAATCACAAAAAATTTGTCACCAATCACTTTCCAATTGAAAAGGATAATCAACAAATCTGTAAAGAGGAAAAAGAAGTAAGACGTTACACAGGACGAAAGCACCATTGGGTCACACGTGTATTTAACTCACCCTCTTGACAGCTCAATACCTCTCACGCCAAGGCCACAAAACTTCCTTCTTCCCGCATCCACTCTAGTACCCCTGGTTCTCAGAAGGTATTGGCTTCTGTGCCCTTTGAGCCTGTCTCCCCTCACTGTTTTGTGGCCAAGCCATGGGTATCTTTATACCCTGAGAATTCTAACACAGACCCGGGAATACAGTTTGTAATCAACCTAATATTTGTTGAGGGTATAAATGAATTACTTTGTCCTCAAGGGTAAATAAAATAAAATATTACCAAATATAAATAAATTTAAAATAAGCCCAAATTACTGGTATTTGTCACTACAATAATACAAAAAGATTAGTGACAGGCAAAGTACAAAACGATCAAGTTATTTATAACAAGAATTACTTAACAAAGGATGCAATAAAATATTAATTCAAAATAGTAAACTCATCAAGGATGATAACTAGGGGCTAGAGACATGGTTCAGATGGTAGAGCACCAGTTTTGAGTGAAAGTGTAAAACACAGTTCAAGTCTAAGTCCAAAGGAAGAAAAAAAACTGTGACTATAAAAAAGACAAAGAGTTCAATCTATCAAGTTCCCTTTAAAAGCTTCTCAATCTAAATACTATGATTCAGAAAACAGAACTTGCTCCAAATGTCAACACTCATGTTTTGTTTACCAAATGGTTAAACCTGAAATGTCCACAGGGGAAATAAATGGCTGTCATAGATGAAGACTGAGGCAGGACAGGTTTCATCAGGTCAGAGCTTATAGACTATAGGATTTGTATGGGATCAACCTTTAAAAGATACTAACACAAGCATGAATGTTCAGAAAGAGAATCAAAACTACAACTTTTCAAGAGAAATCAGATACTCTAATTGTGAAGATGAAGGAGAGTGATATAACATTATCAGTAGCTAAGTACCTGATACCTTTCTCTAAAAATCACTAATTTTTCCTACATATTTGGCTGTACATACTTTTGGGGGACCAATTTATGTAATGATTTTATTTATTTTGCCAGTCCAGAGGCTTGAACTCGGGGCCTGGGCACTGTCCCTGAGCTGCTTTTTGCTCTACCACTTGAGCCACAGGATAGACAAGCACGCTAACCACTAAGCCTCATTCCTAGCCCTGTAATGATTTTATAACAATGGTCTATAAGAAGAATAAAATGAACTCACTTCTCATTCAAATTGGTTCAAACGTTTGCTTTCAATTCACTCCTTTTGTTTGTGAATTTTTGTGGTTTTTTTGGACTGCCACCTTTTGGGGGATAATCTTTCTTTCTTTTTTTTTTTTGCCCATCTGGGGCTCGAACTCAGGACCTAGGCACTGTCCCTGAGCTGCTTTTGCTCAAGACTAGCACTTTCTCACTTGAGCCACAGCACCACTTCCAGTTTTTTCTATTTATGTGGTACTGAGGAATTGAACCCAGGGCTTCATGCATACTAGGCAAGCAATCTACCACTAAACCACATTCCCAGCCCTGGGTATAATCTTAATCAGGTTTCTTTCACACAGGATTTCCCAAGTGGTTACTCTTCTCTGAACTGACAACATTCATTAACCAGTGCATGTGGTATACTGGTATATTATAAATTCTTATTAATGACACTGTTGTGTCAAATTTCCAAGATGTTCACATGAGTGTGTGTGTGTGTGTGTGTGTGTGTGTACTGACCCTGGGGCTTGCCTGGATGCTGTCCCTGAGCTTCCTTGCTCTAGGCTAGTATTCTTCCACTTGAGCCATCACCCTACTTCTGGCTTTTTGTTGGTTAATTGGAGGTAAGAGTCTGATGGATTTTCGTGCCGGTGTTGGCTTTGAACAGCTATCCTCTGATCTCAGTCTCTTGAGTAGCTAGGATTATAGACATAAGGCACCAGCACCAAGCCAGTACTGGGGTTTGAACTCAGGGCTGGCTCAAATGGCACTCTACAACATGAGCCACACCTCTAGTCTGGCATTTTGCTGATTAATTGGAGGTAGACTCTTGGGGATTTATATGTCCCAACTTGTCTTCAAACCTTGATCCTCCAGGTCTCAGCTAGGACTAAAAATGTGAACTGCAGGTACCCAGCCAGGATACACTTTTTTAAATTAGGCTACCTGATAATCCAATAGTCTAGTCATTATTTCTCATCAAGATGTATCTCTTTCTATTAATGAGTTACTGGTTTTGACAGAATCTAATTTTCTTTGTTAGAATTCACTTCTTCACATATACCAACTTCAAGTCCTATAAACATCCAAATCATAGATTTCTTATTTTTCTGTGGTTTTTATTAAAATGATCCAAAATGTCACTTCAAATTGTGGTTAGAATGGCACATTCTCAATCTTGGCAGCCTTGTTGTAAAAAGTGCTACTCTGTCCCTATGTAACATGTAAGAAAATATACTAGATGGTAATATGGAGTAGAAGATTCCAGAACATTAACTGATAAGGGCAAATTGGAAGACACATCACTGGTCTCAACAAGTACCAGAGACTAAGGCTTAAACGTCATAGCAATTACACAGGAAAAAAAAAAGTCTTAGATCATCAGTGAGAATCAGAAAGGTAAAAAGAGTTTCACATTCTACCACCATTGCATGTATTATTGTATTATTGCTTTTGCTGGTCCCATGAATTAACTAAAGGCAAGCAAAGGCTTTGCATCTCCACTCCATTTTATTTATTTATTTACTGCCAGTTCCCAGTTTTTTAGTTTTCTTCCCAGTCCTGGGGCTTGAACTCAGGGCCTGGCACTGTTCCTGAGCTTCTTTGGCTCAAGGCTAGTGCTCTACCACTTGAGTGCCACTTACGGCTTTTTCTCTTTATGTGGTACTGAGGAATCAAACGCAGGGCTTCATGCATGCTAGGCAAGCACTCTACCACTAAGCCACATTCCCAGCCCTTCACCTCCATTTTATACGTGTTTTTGCTCGAAGACACTATCTGCAGTCACCAAAGGACTTCTCATAGAATATCCACGCCATGTAATAAATCTCTTACCACGTCTTCTTGGTATTTAGGAGTGAATGGCTGGATCTGACATATCAACTCTGGGGTTTGAGACAGGTCTAAAACTCTGATTTCATTATTTATCTTGGGACAGGTCCTAAAAGCTACTTCTCAAATAAGCCAAAATAAAAACAAACAAACAAAAAATACAGATACTGCAAATAATCCCATGATCCATTTAATGAGAACTATACAATGTATAACATTATCACATACCAGAAATGAGGTAGCCTGAGGCAGTAGCAATATTCACAATCACATGTTTTGGATCACCCCTGAAAATATTTAAGACAAAATAAAAAGGGTTTGTTGGTTTTCTTTTAAAGCATATGGGTTATAGATGACCAGTGCACCTTTTCTACTGAGATTTAAGTACAATAAAAACACTTTCTTTGATTTTCAAATGGTAAGCTGTTGTTTTCAAACATAAATCGCAAAGCACCAGCCTCCATTTAATTGAGCCTTGATGCCTGGCTAGTAGTAGAAGACAGATGCTGTTCCAGAATAATATGAACCCATGTCCCCCAAGGAAATCTAGTAACTTCTCATCTGAGATGAATTGTTAGCTATCTGCTGCTGGACATGAAGTTTCTACTCTAGCCTGAGCAAGTTTCCAAAATCTCCTTGATGATAAATCAGAAACTCTTGGAATTAAAATAAGCTGAGATCCTTTAAAAGCATTTAAAGCCAAACCACACTGAGGTCCCAATATTAAAAAAAAAAAAGAGGCCTCTTGAAGGTGGCTGAGAGAACACAATGCATTGATGAACCAAAGTTAAAACTGCCTCACAACTTCCAAATCCAAAGGCAGAGTAGAGGGTTTGCTTTGTGTGAAATTGAGAAGGAAGCATCCTACTACTTATGGTGTTTCCATAGATCCAGAAGATGACTAAGAGCTCCATCCATCTGCATCTGACTTCTCAATCCTATCCTGTCAGAGAACTGTGCAAGCTGAGAGACTACTTCTAACTGCATGAATCAACAATTTCTTTATACACACACAACTATGCTAAAGATGTTATTTAAAAACTGTAAATGTACCAGATACTGGTGGCTTACGCCTGTAATCCTAGCTACTCAGGAGACTAAGATCTGAGGATTGTAGTTCAAAATCAGAAAGTCCATGAGACTCTTACCTATAAGAACTCTGGAAGTGAAGCTGTGGCTCAAAGTGGTAGAGCACTATCCTTGAGCAAAAAGAGCTCAGGGACAGTGCCCAAGTCCTGAGCTCAATCAAGTCCCACGACCAACCAAAAAAAGAGTATGTATTCTATGATTTGCAAAAGGACTCCAATAGAATTGTAAGTACCAAAGGTTTTTATTCTTTATTCTGAACCAAACTCACCATGGGAAACCATGTACCCCATTTTTGATTTTCAAGGCAATCTAGATTGTCATCCTCACTCAAGGATTTTTCATTATCACACAATTAGGAAAATGGTTAGGAGAGCCCTGCTCTTTTGACCCCTACACACATCAAGATGGCACAATTTCTTACCACTCAACAACATCCTATGCCTGATTAATAATACTTGTGGAAATAGCCCAAAATGAAACTGATAGTGTAAGCAATGGAAATAAACAAGGGCTTTTTTAAAATATAAATTTTGTTCTGCAAATATAACCTAAGAAATGTGGACTTGAAATAAATCATGGCATGAAATACATACCCACACCCACACACCTAATATGTCAGATTAAATCTTAATAAAACAATATGGACTAATGAGTCCAATCTTGGTGCAACATTTACTTCATAAGAAAACTGGTTCCGCCAATAGAAGTAAAGAAAATTTAAGCTAGGTATTACTTAAGGAGATGATATAAAAGTCTGGTCAAAGAACTCAATGGATCCCTTTTGAAAAATATCCTCTTTGTGAAATGTATCAATCAGTATGATTCTAATGAGAATAGCTTCACACTTACAACCAAACCCTAGCAAGTCCAATAATAATAGTTACATTGTCTTCTAACCTACAAAGCTCATAACTACCATTCTACTCCTTCCAACATAGTACCTCTTCTTGTAAACTAAGCTGACCTAAGCCATAATGTTGAATGTGTCTTCGGAATGACATTTGATATTTTTTGTGTGTGCCAGTCCTGAAGTTTGAAATCAGGGCCTGGGCAATGTTCCTGAGTTTTTGTGCTCAAGGCTCATGCTCTACCACTTTGACCTACCACATTGCATTCCAGCTTTTTGGTAGTTAACTGTAGATAAAAGTGTCATGGACTTTCCTGCCTAGGCTGACTTCAAACTGTGATACTCAGATCTCAGTCTCCTGAGTAGCTAGGATTATAGATGTGAGCTACTGATGCCTGGCTGGAATGACATTTTAAATTTGTCAAAAAGACTCATACTTTATCTTACTACTGCCAAATTGAATCATTACTACTGCTCCTCATCTGGCACTAATCTCACCCGGCCACTTTTAATTCCCATTCCATTTCTTTGGTATTGAACAACAGATCGAACATAAATTTGAAGACAAAGACGTTAGTAGGTTTTATCCCAAGCTGAGCATTCCATGTCAAATATAAGTCAGTTTGACAAAACCAGTGTTCATCTCTTCACCATACTTTCCTTTTTTGAAAACAATCCTTTGGGCTGGGAAGGTGACTCAGTGGTAGAGTGCTTGTCTTGCATGCTTGAGGCCCTGGGTTCAATTCCTCAGCACCACATAAGCAAAAAGAAAAAAGCCAGAAGTGGCACTGTGGCTCAAGTGGTAGAGCGCTAGCCTTGAGCTGAAGAGCTGAGGGACAGCGCATAGGCTCTGAGTTCAGGCCCCAGGACTGGACCCCCCCCCAAAAAAAAAAGAAAAAAAGAAAACAATCCTTAAAACTAAAGCAAAACTACCCACCCCCATTATTGGCATTCAAAGCTAAAACCATTTTAATGTACTTTGCTGGAATATATGAGAACACCAGCAATTTAATAAAACATACACCATAAATACATTTCCTGTTTTAAAATAAATGACCCTCATTAATAATTAAGAGCAAACAATAAATCTAAATGACTATGTTAGAAAAGAGCTTACCAAAGTGGATCCGCTATAGTAGCTTCATCAAAGAGGAAAAGGTAGAGGCCAAAAGTCCCAACCACCAAAGAATGGCATGTAGATACTACCCTGAAATGAAAAAAGAAAAGAAAAAAAGAAATGTAGGTAAACACTTCATGTCCCTTGCAATAAACTTTCATTCTTGTAAGCCAGTTAACATTCTGAAGTTGCACCTTAGAACATTCAAACATAAGAGTGCATGGAAAACTGACACAGAGTAGGCATTTAGAAATGGGGGCCAGGAGCCTTGCTTCACTCGGGGTAGAGTATCAGGAATTCCAAGGTCTACCATTCCATGACTCATCAGTGCTTGGGCTAAGATTCTAAAGCAGAAGCAGCACACAGGATTGTGTAGTTATGAGCACCTCTTGGAAGTGAAGGGGTAGCTCAAGGGATAGGGTACCAGCCTTGAGGAAACAACATCAACAACAAAAAACTCTGGGTCAGTGTTTAGCCCTTAGTTCAAGCCTAGGACTGGGGGACAAGGAGGGGTATGGTCTCAACAAACTGATGGCAATGAAAAGGCTACTGCCCTGCCCCTCCAAGTTATATACCGAATGATCTCACTGCAGGATGAGTTCCCTGCTCCAATCAGGTGGGAAAGACTTTTACTTCCAAATCTTCCACATCAATCAACTCTCTCTATAGAGAGGTTTTTTTGTTTTGGGGGTTTTTTGGTGCCAGTCTTGGGGCTTGAACTCAGGGGCCTGGGCTGTCCCTAAGCTCTTTTTCCTTAAGCCTAGTACTATACCACTTGACCCACAGCTCCAATTCTGTGTTTTTTAGTGTTTCATTGGAGATAGGCATCTCACTTTTCTACCTGGGCTGGCTTTGTACCTGGTGCCTCAGATCCCAGGCCTCCTGAGTAGCTAGGATTACAGATGTGAGCCACTGGCACTCAGCCTATTTCTCACATCTTTATTTAGAAGTTTGCAAGTATGGGCTGGGAAGATGGCTTAGTGGTTGAGTGCTTTCCTAGCATGCATGAAGTCCTGGGTTCTATTCCTTAGTACCACATAAACAGAAAAAGCCGGAAGTGGTGCTGTGGTTCAAGTGGTAGAGTGCTAGCCCTGAGCCAAAGAAGCTAAGAAGCACTGCCCAGGCCCTGATCAGGTTCAAGCCATAGCACTGGCCCAAAAAAAAAACAAAAAACAAAAGCATATATATATATATATATATTATATATAATTAAAAAAATAATTTTAGTTCACAAAAGTAGTTTTTAAAGACAGCTACATGCCTATGTTTTTACCTTGAGTTCCATTCAATCTTCTTTTCGTTGCTTAGATTATTATAACCTGAAGAAACCTTTGCTGAAAACCTATGACTTACAAAATGGAAAAGCAACTGAAAGGTGAAAAAACTGGTACACACAATGCTGAAAACTATGTGGTTGTTGTTGTCCATATTTCTTTAACCTGTTAAGAGAAATGGTACTGTAAGTTACTAGTTCTTTAAAGAGCACATATTCCTATTTTATAGTAGTTTTGAAAATTAGCACAAATTAGGAGAAGAAACCCTAAGAATTGGAAATCTTTCATGCTCTTCAACCTTACCATTTATTTGTTATATAACTTATTTTTGTATTTAAAATATTGTATTTAAAATAAAAAACTTTGATTTTTAAAGATTTGTGAATTATAGAATATATTTAAAATGATCTCTAAGTCTTAGAGTTCAACATTAAGAAGCAGCTAGCATAAAAATGAAGGTATTATTTTAATAATATATTTAATTATATTTAAGACAAATCCCCTTATTTCCACTATTTCCTCATCTATAAATTGGAGTCAGATAATTTCTAAGTACCAATTAAGTTTAAAGTACTAGAACATCACCTATGTTAACAAAACAGAAAATTACATAATAAAAATTAGTTATACAGTGGCGCAAACCACATTTAAAACAAAATTAAAATAAAAATAATAATGGTCTTAGAAAAAAACACCATATGTTGGTGGGAATGTAAATTACACAGTATGGAGATTCCTCAAAAAATTAAAAGTAAGCATCAATGGCTCATGCTTATAATCCTAGCTACTTAGGAGTCTGAGATCTGAGGATCACAGCTAAGCTAGTCCTAGAAAGTCTTTGAGACTCTGCTCTTCTAATTTATCACCCAAAAAGCCAGAAGTGGAGCTGTGGCTCACATGGGAGAACTCCAAACTTGAGCCAAAAGGCTAAGAGACAGCGCCCAGGCCTTGAGTTCAAGCCCCAGTACCAGAAGACACACATACACAACCGAAAATTACCTAATCTAAAAACAGAACTCCCCTATGATCTAGTGATAGCACTCTTGGGAGTTTATCCAATTAATTACAAGCCAACATATATAATAAACTCTTGCATACCCAAGTTTATGGCTGAAATACTCACTGTAGCTAGGTTATGAAAACAGCTCTAATGCTCTACAACTGACAAATGAAACATGTACATATACACACATGCATGCGCATGAATTATTCTTAAGAAAGAATATCTGTCCAAAACAGAAATGTACTCTTTACCTGACTTAAGTAACTGCAACCTCTCTGTACATCATAACAATATTTTTTAAAAGAAAGAAATGTTACGTCATTTACAGAGAAATGGAAAGACCTGAAGAAAGATTATATTAAATGAAGTCAGGCTCAGAGAGAAAAAGGGCTCATGTTTTCTCTCAAATATGGAAATCAGACCTAAAAATAAACATATATAACACACACATATATAAACACACACGTACATATGTGTGGATATATAACCAGTATAAACAGAATACTAGTATGCTGAGGGAAGTAGGTTTAAGGTAATGATTGGTGAATTAATGGAGAGAGGAGTAATGGATGAATACAGTCATAATACTCAATATGCATATGTGAAAATGGAACTAGAAAACTTGAGGTTGAGGATAGATGGGAGAAGGATGATGGGAAGGGTGACACTGATCAAGATGTGTAGTACTCATAAATTGATATGGTGAAATTAAACCTCCTTGTATAACTAAAGATTTAAAAAAGAAAGAATCATATCATTATCTAAAACTAGTATTTCACTTTCCCCTTCGGCCAAAAGGTCTCTGTACCTTTTCATCTCTATTTAAAATTTTTTTAAGAACTATAGATTTTTTCCAGGCACTGGTGGTTCACTCCTGTAATCCTACCTACTCAGGAGGCTGAGATCTGTTCTAAGCCAGCTTAGAAAGTCTGTGAGACTCTTAGCTCCAATTAACCACCAAAAAGCCAGAAATGGAGCTGTGGCTCAAGTGGTAGAGCACTATCCTTGAGTAAAGTAACTCAGGAGCAACTCCCAGACCCTGATTTCAAGCTCCAGGATGCACACAATAAGTAAATTTAAAAAAACATACAAATTTTAAGGAGTTAAAGTATAATAATATGCTTATACATACACTCAAAGTCTGTTTTCTATCTTATTGAGCTGAAAACTTTATTTGGCTACTAAAAATCTCAAGAACATTCAGGTGTTAAAAAGCCACCAAAGCATTTGTTCATATCCAGAAAATGTAGCAATTCTCTGGCTCTATTTCTCTACTACAGCTGATCCTCAAATGATCAGAGGAAACAAATCAATACACATTTCCAGCTGCCTAATGTGAAGAAATAAAGTCACTTACTGAAACTGACTCACTGGAGAAAATCCAAGTCATTGGCTGCACTAGTAAATGCAATACCTCACTTCATTCCCTTCTAGCCAGGATGTCATAATGAGCATCAATCTCCCACAGGGCCCCCATGATAGAGTTCAGATGTCTGTAATGAATTCTTCCTTTCCATCCCCCTTTTTTGAGGGGTACGTGTACTTGGTAAAATTATTGATAATGCAATTCTTCTCTGTGAGACTCCATTAACTTCAATTCTCCTTTACTTCTTTGGGTTCAACATGTGTTTATGGGGTAATTAAAGAAATATTTAATTTAGTCTAGGCTTCATATTAACCAAACAATGCATAAAAGTAAGCTTTGTACATATACTGGACATCATTATAATCTGTTAAGTGATGTAAAAAAGGAAAGTGATTTCTAAGATGAAAGCAAATAGAGATGTGGAGGCCAGGTGGACAGATAATTGAAGAAAATGGAATCAGTAATGACAAGAGAGCTAGGATGATTTACCCTGAAGGCTACACATGCTTTCTGCTGATGTTAGAGCACGGATAGGCAAGGGCTATTCAGGCTCTTTTGTTCAAATTCAATGTATACACACATGAGCTTTTTGTTTTCAGATGCTCTCATGAAACACTGATATCATGCATGGCATTATCCAGTTAAGGAATGGCTAGTTTAATACATTAAAAAACACTCTAACAATTGTCAGTTACAAAAAGAAGTACCACCCCTCCCCCAATAGGTTGATAATCTCCCCTTGCAAAAATGTTTGATTTGAAACTAAATAAAGAGGCTCAGATATTCACTCTGTAGTTTTTATTACAGGCTGGGCAGGGAAAGCCATTTAAATTCCTCTTCCCTCAGCCTTGCTTCTTAATAAGTAGCTGCTTGCTTAACCAAAGCCAAGACCAAGATTTTTTTTTAAACAAATTCCCCCAGAAAGGACAGCTTAAGTTGAGACTTATCAGGGGCTAGCAACTGTTGCAGAAGGCTGGGACTTACTAGCTGTCCTAGAAAGGAGTGGCTGAAACAGACATGGAATACCTCGAGTGTCTACAATATCATTACCCCATCCCTGGTTCACAGGAATGATGGACACCAGAGAAACTTCCAGAGGTCTGCTGAACACACTGATGACTGTCCTTGTCCCAAGACAGCAAACAGCCACTGAAGCTGGTGTCTTTGAAGGAAAAAAGCATGAAGACATTGGAAGTACACATCTCTATCAGGAAAGCCCTCCTCTTCCAAAAAGACACTTCCACCCAGAGACAAGGTCCTCAAACACAGCACAGCCAACATGTAGTTGCCACTTTAGGCAACAGCCCATCCAACAACTGTCACTTGTCTACCAAATACCAAGTTCTGCTGGTGTTTGGAAGACACATTTATAAGCTAAGAGATTGAAAGACCCTATTGAACATGTCTGGGGTGCTAAAGAGAATAAATGGAGTCCTCTCGAAAGATGACAGTGAAGATGACACATAAACAGTGAGGAGATAGACAATGGAATTCAAGGTGAAGCAAGGAGTCTATCTCTTTCGTTGAAATCCTAAGATGCTTTGAGGTAGATTCTGCTAGGAGCTTAGAGCCAACTCCCACAACCCAACCACAGCTGGGACTCCCATTTCCTCCAGTCTATTATTCCTTTGTAAGTATATGGTTCCTTAGGACTTTCAGAATCACCAATGAGAATACCAGACATAGCCTATACCACTCCCCACCCCCCACCCCCATCTCCAACTCCACTGTGATACCAGATAGGAGTTAGCAGTAAAAATACTTAAAGGAGTAGAAGTGGGAGAGAGGTCTATGTGTGTTTTGTTTGCTTTTTGTTTGTTTTTTGACAGTCCTGGGGCTTGAACTCAGGGCCTGGGCACTGTCCTTGAGCTTCTTTGGCTCAAAGCTAGCACTCTACCACTTGAGCCACAGCACCACTTCCGGCTTTTTCTGTGTATGTGGTACTGAGGAAGGGAACCCAGGGCTTCATGCATGCTAGGCAAGCACTCCACCACTAAGCCACATTCCCAGCCTCTGTGTTTGTTTTAAAAGCCAGCAGGGAAAAGGGAAGCTGAGAAGAAAGCCTCACTCACACTCAGCATTTCCCTTTTCCATCCCTAGTAGGTTGCCTTTCCTATTTCCCAACTGAATCTAAATATGTGTTCACTAATAGCAAATCTCCATTTCTCCCCCTTCTTGTAGCAGATGAGGTTTCTTCCCATTTCACCAAGAAAATGAATGCTATGAAACATCAACTCCCTTAACAGGGCATTGTTAAGGACAATCACCATAACATGGAGTCTCTTCTTGGTGCTCTACGGGTTCTGCCTGGCTATATAGCCCACTCTCTCAACAATGCTTACGTTGTGTACAATCAACATAAACTTACAGCCGCTCCCCCCCTACATACACAGTACACCAGGACTGGATAGACAGCTGGCCTCTGAATGGTTCCATATGGGCATTCCGGAAGCCCTGCAGGTTCTATCTGGTCCAAGATGAACGAAATGCATAACCATCCCTTCCTCCATGGCTCCCAATCTCAGTGACTGACACTGCCATTCACAGTATCTCCCAACCTAGAACAGCTCAGCCCTGTCCCTTCTTCCCACACAGCAATGACTGGCAAATTCTGGCAGATTGGAGAATGCCAAATAAAGGGTAACAATTCTAGTCTCACCTCTCATGATAGACTAATACAAAGAAATATGACTGGGGAAGAAAACTTGGCAAATACAGGGTAGATCAATGATCTGAAGTAGACCTGAGACATTATCTCCTCCTACCACTTGATAAATTCTTCTCTTCTTGATCCTG